CCTCCGAGGTCAGCTGCAGCTCCGGCCTGCGTACCGACGACACCAGGGCGTCGAGTACGTCCAAAAGGTAAGGCCGTTTCGCCCCCTTCGCTCCACAGTATCTTCCTGGAGGGCTTCTATGACTCACTATCAAAGAAGATGCTCGAGGACCAGGGCTTATTGGCCAGGCCTACCGGCACACGGCGCGATGATGGGGAACACTGATCCCGAGGGACACTTGGGGATACGTAGAGGGTCGCCAAAACGCCATTCCAAATGTTTGGAAATAGGGCGATGATGCGAAGAACGACGGCGCGAGGTCCTGTGTTGCACATTGCGCGCCCTGAGAAGCCCTGCACGCGGCCCGAAGCGCGAAACTGGCCAACGTACTCACACTTTGCATCGCCAAGTAATGAAAGTGACGCTGCATTCATTTCATGGACGACAGGTGGGCCACACGTTCGACATTTAGAACGCATGCGAGAGGTTCTGTGACGCTTTGCCCGTCAAACCGAAGAAGAGTTCCCTATAGGACTAAATGCATAATAGGTCAACTGATGCTCCTGGGTCATGGGTGCACCTTCCTCAGCTTACCTCGAGTGAATCCATCTGGGAACAGGCTCACTTAGACGCCACGAAGGGGATGGATCGCGAGTACGACACCAGCTACTGAGACTCACGGCCGTACGTTCGTAAATTCCTAACATGCACGCTGTCTTCCATGTAGATCATCCAGCGGCGATACCGAAGCTCAGAAAGTCTGCAACGGCTTCTCCGAGAACCTGATGAAGCCGAAGTCTAGAATAATAGAAGTCAAAGCTCGTACCGACGGTCCTAGCCCGGTTTCTGTTGAACATGAGTACACATGTGCACCGGCCCGATAGTCGAGGAGAGTTCAAGGTCCAGACAAGCCAAGAGTTGCATCCTTCCTCGAACAACTCGGACCCTGCTCACCTACATTCGTCGCGGTCGTCGACGTCGTGGCGGAGGACAACACGCATACGTTGCAGCTGTCACGTCGCCGTTACACGTTACACCACCACCGTGACACCACCCAAATCACCCCCGTAACACTTTCGCCTCCAAAGTCCAAACACCCACCTCTGAATCCACGGCCACCCGCCATATGCATGCTATTCGCAATCCCGCCCCTCCCCGTGGTCATCACCGATCACCTCAGACACCTAAACCGTCGGCGCGCGCGGGCGGTGGGGGGCGGCGAGCAGTGAACACATATAAATACCGTCAAAATTTTCTCGGGCCTTCGCGTCAGGTCTTTCGAGTCAGCATCTGTGCACTGTCGCCGTTTCTCCCTGGACCGCGCAGTCAGACGCGTCTGCTCGGCCTGCGTTTCCAGCGGTGAGCACATTTGGGTTTTTGATTTTGTGGTGAAGGAGTTGCTGTCGGTGGTAGCGGCCCGTGTCCATGTGTCGGCAGGTCTGACCTGTGGAGCGGGATGGTCTCTAGCAAGGCTGGAGCTCATCCTTGGTCGAGCCCGCCGTGATACCGCGAGATATCTCCAGCCTCGCACTCTGGCGGGCTCTGTATCCATGAGTACCGGCGGCAAATCCACCAGTACTCCCCATGGCCAGCTCCACTCATTCTAGACGACATCGACACACGATCCCGACCCTTCGCACTGGTCCTGAGGCTGAAACCTGGAGGACACACAGCTCCGCTACATAGGTAAGTCAGTTCGAATTCGCCCCCCTCCCTAGGCCTCTTCACTCCAACCAGCCTCGCGGAGCAGCACGCGCTCTCATGCGGAGCCTCGTCTAGAGCCCATTCTCATCTCCTCGCGCTGACGTTGTACAGCTTTACCACCATGCGCCTCGCTCTCCCAGGCACCTGCGAATGGCGACAGCGAGCTCAATACAAGGATCCGGACTTATCGCACGGTGACCCATCTCGCCATAGCTCGCCCGCGGTCGTCACCACTAGTACTGTGGAGCGATAAGCGCACATGCTGCTCGCGGCGCCCGTGTTCGAGCTGTCATGGACAAATTGGTGAGCTTGGAGGGATAAGTAGATGGCATCAATGAGGATGTCTTGCACGCATATGGTCATCTAGTTTTATCTCTTTTGCAATTGATTTCATGTCGAAGCGTCGTCCTGCACCGACGTCAAACTTTCCTGCCGCACTTCAAGCTTCAATACCAAGACACAACCAGAGCGATCTGACGTATAGCGCCGCTGGACTGGGAACGCCCATACACCTGGACCGACGGCGGCCAGTGCGTCAAACAAACAAGCGAGCAAGGTGTGGCAGCGGCCGTTCTCATGCGGAGCGCACTATGATGCGGAGCAGACGACTCTCACCGGCCTCTCGTCGTCGTGCGACCTGTGGGGATCGGCATGCTCGCATACTTCTCGGGGTGTTTGGATTTGCTCCACTGTGTGTCCACGCCTCGGCTTCCTCGTCGAGGTCGCAATGCAGACTATAGTTAGGTCCATGCGGTCAATGCATCATCGAGCTCTGGTAGACCTCCTTGAACCTTCCGGATCCCCGTCTTCATATCAGTGATAGTGTCGTATTTTTTACTGGACTTCGAATCCCGCTTTTGTTGTATCGTTTGATTCTACCTTACGGCACCTCCGTGATGGGAAACGGAATGGAATACAACGTGGCTCGCAGGTCTGCCTCGTGGATACGAGTCTTCTGCACACTGTTGACATCTCGGCCGGCGTATATCGATGCTTCTGCATATCAGTATCGTGGTTTGCGCAACGTTCGTCTTCTTGGGTGCAGATGCGTTTGTGCTGTTACCGCTTGCGTAATCCAAAGCAGTTTCAAATTAATATTGCTAGCCTGATGCTAGCTCTCGCCGTCACGGGTCTGGCCATGTTGGTCTGATGCAACGCGGTTTGCCCGGTCACCAGCACCGGCTTTCCACTATTTCGTAGAGGCGGACCCTTTCGTACTTTCAACGATACCCTCGGCGCGCAAGCGTTCGGATACCCTAGTACCCTAGGTTTGTGCTTCCAACGCTGCCATGAGTTGACTGTCGCACTGATATATTACTTCACTCGCTCTTTAAGCGATATCACGGTAGACACTACCAGTCGTTTCTCAGCAGAGAACCCTATATATAGAGGCCCGCTTCTCCAACAATGCATCGGTGCCTTCAGATCCCAGAAATCATATACCAAATCTGCAACTCCATCCAACCTGATACTGCAGCGCCGGTCCAGTATGCCAACTTTCCCGAGGACGGCGTATCCGTGTGCAAACGCGACGCGCTCGTGCTCGCGCTTGCGTCGAAGCAGTTCCTGGAACCGGCCCTCGACGTGCTATGGCGCTCCATGTTGTCGACGAAGCCGCTCTTCGATCTGCTAGCGCTACCTGCTGACGCGTTTCCACCCGGTGAACAGAGAGTACACGCATTGAGCAATGTGTTCGTGAGTAATATCCTTCATCACTATGCTACGCGGAACTAACCTCGACGCCAAGGCCTGTGCCGAGTGGATGAACAACACCGACTGGACCAGATACAACTACTACGCGCGCCGTGTCCAATATCTCAAATCGTCGGAAGTCAGGGAGGCCAAAGTCCTGCCCTTCTACCTCGCTCTCAACGCGTGCTCGCGCCGCCCCCTCCTCCCCAACCTTCGCTTCCTGTACTGGGACTACTACGTCGCCCGTCCGGCATTCTTCCACCTCCCGCTCTTCCTCAGCCCACGGCTCACCACCCTCGTCCTCGACATGGACCGCATGGAGGGGCCGCACACGCCGGGGGCGATCAGCCTCTTCGCAAACATCAAATCCCTGTGTCCCGCGCTGGACAGCCTAGTGCTGCCGAACCGCTTCTACGAGGAGACCGGACGCAGCAACAGCGACGCCATCGAGTTCCTCATCACCATGTGCCCCAAGGTCAAGTCCGTCGACGTCCGCTGCCGGATATTCGAAGACACGTGGGCCTGCCTCGCCCAGATGCCGAATCTGCGCTCGCTCAAATGCACGTTTGTTGCAGCCGTAGATGACGACATCCGCGACGAGCCCGATCCCATACGGCTCGCTCTCCAGCCGAGCAGAGCCAACTTCGCGTCGCTCGAGCACCTGACGGTGGTCGTCAAGACCATCACAGACTTCGTGCAGTTCCTTTCGTGTCTCAAATACCCCCGGCCCCTCAAGACGCTCGACATCCGCACGATCAGATGCCCCTCCGCCGCCGAGATCGAGCTCTTCGCGAAGACGCTCCCCGCGTACTGCTCCCCGGCCACCCTGACCTCCCTGTCCCTCACCTGCACCTCAGCCGACCCGCTGCACCCAGCCGACGGCCTGCCGCCGCCGCCCGCCTCCGCGCTGCTCGCACCGCTCCTGCAGTACCGCGCGATGCGCCACTTCACGATGCACTGGTGCGAGATGATATTCGACAACGCACTGCTGGCGAAAATCGCGCCCGCATGGCCCGCGCTCCGCGCGCTCGACCTCTGCGACACGGCGCACGAGCTGTACTTCCCCACCGCGACCGTCAGCGGCCTTGTCCCCCTCCGCACGCACTGCCCGCATCTCGAGCACCTCGTCGTGCCCGTCACGGCGCTCGACTGTGACTGCGGGCACCCGGCTCCGGAGCTTCCAAAAGGCGCGGGCCGGCGCGTTGTGACGCTTGTGCTCTGCGGGGACAGGGAGGTGGAGGATATGGAGAGGGTCATGAGGTTCATGAAGGACGTCTTTCGGGGGTGGAAGAAGAGGCTGAGCTTGCCGCGTGTGGTGGCGGGCTCTTAGGCTCGAGTGTCTCGATTTTATATATATACCTGCCGTGTGTCCGTAGTTCGATTCTTCTTTTTCTACTGCTTCTTATATTTCTGTATACCTAACTGCTAGCTATAATACCCTAACACACACTGCTATATATACGTACCTTTCGATCTATGTCACCACGACATGCACCCGTCCTTAAAACCTTCCTTGTTTAAGGCTTTGAGCGGCTCTTCAGGATCCTCGAGAAGTCGAGGATACCAGTGAATTCGGCAAAGCAGAATGTCTACAAATCACTCGGTAGGAGGATACAAAAAAGTCTTGACGAGAGTGGGATTCGAACCCACGCCCTTTCGGACCAGATTAGGAAGGGGGACTTCCCAATTTGAGCACTCGATTGAATGCTGGTCGCTTGACCTTAGTCTGGCGCCTTAGACCGCTCGGCCATCTCGCCTCATTTTCGCCCTGTTTCTTTGAATTGTGTGCCACGGTCATGAACGTTTAACACTGGTCCGCTACTTTGATCACCATGAAATAGGTCGTTATACTCCCATTTCCTACCGGTGCTTGTCGACACCAAAGCTGCTCAGATGACCATGAAAAGTAGTTGAGCCTCCTGAATTGAAGGCGAGATGGCCGAGCGGTCTAAGGCGCCAGACTAAGGTCAAGCGATCAGCATTCAATTGGATGCTCCAATTGGGAAGGACCCCTTCCTAATCTGGTCCGAAAGGGCGTGGGTTCGAATCCCACTCTCGTCAAACTTTTTCGCGTAGTCCTCTAGGCTCTCATGTTCTCGGTCTCTTGCAGGAGACTCTGACTGTCTCTCTCAAGCCAGCTTTGCCCTGTCAAGTCATAAAGCCTATGCAGAGAAGCGCAATGCTACTGAGAGCAAATAAAACAGCCACAGACATGGCGATATGGCCGAGCGGTCTAAGGCGCCAGAATCAGGCTATGTCCTATCTGGTCCGAAAGGGCGTGGGTTCGAATCCCACTGTCGTCATTGCATCTGCATGAAAGAGGTTGTTTTTTGAGCTGTATTACCGGCTGGTTTTCAAGATGGATGCATGACGAGAAACTTTGGTATGTTTTTCATTCACGGTTGCGACAGCAGCATGCCACTACAGCGCCGATGGCACCTGTGTAGTAACCACTCTACAAACAAGTAGAAAGAGTACTTCGTGGCACGCATAGCCATAGAAACGTCCACCGAGAGGTGGCCTCAGGAGCACACTGCATGCGAGGAATGTGGCAGAGATGCACCCGAGGCGTATATAATAGATGCCTACAGCACTGCGACACTACACCCTATCGTCCATCCCTTGCTCGTGCACCCGCCATTTTCTGGCTATCTCGGCACCCCATGGATTTCGAGCAGCACCTTTCGAGGAACCCGTTCCTTGCTCTCGTCGAAAGGCAAGCAGACCACGATGCGGGGCCCGGCGACTCTGCGGATGGTGCTGGTGGACTCTCAGGTGCCGAAGACGGGGCATCCGGCAGGGCTGCAACGCATCAGGACGAAGGGTATGCATCTGACGGATCAGCCCCGTTCGTCAGTACAACTCCTCTCCGATTCGATATGTATAGATAGTACTCACCCACGCACCGCAGGACCTGGCAGACTGGATCGTCGCCCCAGACGAAGACTACGTCGTTGCGAACGCAGGGCACACTATGCCAGCTCAGGTGCAGATTCCCGAGCCCGCGCCCGACGTCGGTGCCGGAGGCGTCACTCTGCGCCGGAGCGAAAGACAAAGAAAGCAAAGGGCCGCGTGGGGTGTTGCCGTTACGTGTGGTCCCACAAAGGCTGCAAGCCGGAAGCGGAAAGGGAAACCGAAGGCCCGTGTTTTGAGGCTTGAGGACGACAACGGCCCTTCCGCTGAAGCTGCACCGGAAGCCGACGATGCCACGGTCAGTACGTCGCAGGCACACAAGAAGCCAAAAGCAAGGAAGAAGAAGGGCAGCAAAGGGACAAAGAAGGCCGCCCGCGAAGAAAGAAAGGACCCGAAGCCGACGGCGGCGACGTCCCAGCCGCTCCAGGCTTCAAACGGCCAACAGCTCGAAGAGGACACACAGCCCGCGACGAAGGAGCAGAAGAAGTTCAAGTGCCCCGACTGCGCGTCCATATTCACCCGTCTTGATAGTGCGAAGGAGCACTACCGCAGCACTCACCTTGGTGTAGTGTATGCGTGCACCGTCTGCGACCGAGAGCTGATGCGACGTCGCAATCTGGTGGACCATATGCAGAAGCTGCACAGAGGCCACGATGTGTCACCGCCACCACTGCCCGACTATGCGAAGCTTGATAATTCGATGTTCGAGGTGATTTGAGCGAGGCAGGAGAAGCTCAACAAGGTTGAAAGGAAGGCCTGAGCGGAGGAAGGAGACGTGACGGGCGATGTATTCGTTACTAGTACTGTATTGATGCGTACCGATTCCAGATCGGTTGTTTGACTGTAAAACTTCTATCATCGCAGCTTTTGCGGCTTTTGTATTGGAACCAATGGCAGGTGGGAGAGAAGAAAGGCCTGATGAGCGTGCACAGAGTTCATTGAACGAGACGATCGAAGGCTAGGGCACGGCTAACCCCGCAGTTTCCCACGATAGCAATACTACGTACCTTGACGAGGCGCCCACAGTCTTGTTCACGGCGCACACACCATAAGCTCACTGACCGCTGTAAACACTCAGAAAATTCACCTTCACATGCTCCTCCGCTTCCCATGAATTTCCAACTGTCCCGAGCTCGCCTGCTCCACACCTTCTCTCACAGACCTCAAAAGATCGTCGCACAGACTCCAAGGAGCCAGAGTCGTTTCCCGACCCACTCGGCTTTAACGCCCCCTAAGATCATCACACACCAATCGCACGCCCGCGAGACCGCATGAGCAAATCACGGAGCGCTGTGGATGCAGCAGTGTCTGCCCATTGCGCATATAACCGCCCCCGCGTCCGCCACCTCGCGACCCATTTCGCGAGATGCTGACGGGCGGATTGCACACTCGCAGCCGCGTGCTGATAGGTGTGCGCTCGGCGGGTCATCAAAATGTGTCTTGGGCATGTGCATGAGGACCGGGATCTGGCCGTCCGCGATTTACTGCGAGGCGTTGCAGTGTACGTATATAAGGCGTCCTGCATCTGGCGATTCCTGCAGCTCGAATTTACCCCCCTCCCCCCTCACGCTACTTATCCTCGCACGATGTCGCAAGCCGCAGCCAAGCGCACCATGACCTACGGTAAGCCCCCAACACCCCGCCGCGTCATCGTCGATTCCCACTAAATCCAAACGCGATGGATCGACACCGACAGTCCGCCTCGGATCGTCCGGCCTGAAAGTGTCCCGCGTCATCCTCGGGTGCATGTCCTACGGCGACAGCCGCTGGCTCAAATGGGTGCTCGACGAGGAGGAGAGCATCACGCAGATCAAGGCGGCCTACGACATGGGCATCCAGACGTTCGACACCTCGAATGTCCGTCCGTCTGAGCTTCTGGGTGGGAGGAGTCGGTGTCTAATGCTGGCACTAGGTGTACTCGAACGGCCTGGGCGAGGTCGTCCTCGGGAAGGCAATCAGGCAGCACCAGCTCCCGCGCGACGAGATCGTCGTCATGACCAAGGTCTGTCGTGCCCATCCCGCCTTCTCGTCTTCTCGTCGTCTCACCGCGCGCTGTGCGCTCTTGCTAGGTGTTCGGCGCGGTGTCCCGCGACGTGAGCGAGCACCTGTACGGGGACACGATCGACGGGAAGGGCTACGTCAACCAGTACGGGCTCAGCCGCAAGCACATCTTCGACTCGGTCAAGCACAGCCTGGAGCGGCTTGGATTGGACTATATCGATGTGCTGCAGTGTGAGTCGGGCTTCCACCTTCATCGAGCGGAGTGGACTGTTTTATGTTTGTGCGTGTGCAGGCCATCGCTTTGATAAGGAGACGCCCATCGAGGAAACAGTGAGTCGGTCGCGTTTACGAAGTGACCTGAGAAAGTGACGGCGAGTACAGATGCAAGCCCTGCACGACGTCGTGAAAGCAGGCTACGTGCGCTACATCGGCGCGAGCTCCTGCTACGCATGGGAATGTACGTCCTCCCCCCCCCCTCTCCCCTCCCCTCCCTCCCATCACTCTAATTCCCCCTTTTCCTCCTCGCAGTCCACGCAGCACAAAGTACGTCCCCTCCGCCGCATATACCACACTCACCAAAACCTCATCTCACCTGATTCTCATCCGGATCCGTGACGCGTGACGGCGCAGACTACGCGCTCGCGCACAACCTGACGCCCTTCATCTCGATGCAGAACCACTACAACCTGCTCTACCGCGAGGAGGAGCGCGAGATGATGCCCACGCTCAAGGTGCCGTCCTCGTCTGCGCACCGGTGCTTAGTACTGATGGGTTTCGAATGCGTGATAGCACCTCGGCGTCGGCGCGATCCCCTGGTCGCCCCTCGCGCGCGGGCACCTCACGCGGCCGTTCGGCGAGAGCACGCTCAGGGCGGGGTCGGACCCGTACGTATACATCCCCCCCACGCTACCTTTTTGCACCAGTTTCCTGACCTCCTAACTTTCTCTTTCAAGGTGGGGCATGGCCTACGCCGGCGGCGCGTCGAAGGAGATCATCGACCGGTAAGCCCTCCCTTCTCAGCCCCTCCCCCTCACGCTGACACACACACAGCGTCGAGCATCTCGCGCAAAAGAAACACATCAGCATGGCACAGCTCGCGCTCGCGTGGCTGCTGCACCAGGACGGCGTGTGCGCGCCGGTCGTCGGCACGACGTCCGCCGCGAAGCTGCGCGACACGCTCCGGGGGCTCGACGTCGCGCTGACGGCCGACGAGGTGGGATACTTGGCGCAGGCGTATGTACCGCGGGGGGTGTTTGGACATTAGGTTGTGTGGGTGGGGGAGGGGGGGAGGGGGGATGGTGTGGTATTATTTGTTGTCACGGTGTCTGCGAAGGTCGTACCTCGCGTGAATGGAGTGGAGGAGAGTAATTGCAAGTACTTATGATGATTGTTGTCCGGGTTCGTTCCAGCGCGTGCGGTGTGTGTCCGGGCGATAGAAGGACGTCGCTGAGAAACGACAGCGTCCGCACCGCGCCGCGCAACCAGAGCGCAACTATACGCATAATGATATGCGATGAGTGCGAATATGGCTCGGCTCGGATAAGCCTCCGTGGTTACAATTAGTTAGCCTCCGTGTGTATGTACAACTAGTTAGCCTCCGTGGTCACAACAAGTATCAAGTAGCTCTTTCGAACGAATCACAAGACTACTCAGAAGCCAGCGACATGATCGAAACATCATTGACACGCAGCAAACAGATTAAAGTGCCTCCTGGCGGGTCCGGTGTGTCATTTGGGTCAGCAGGATGTGGGGGTTGTAGGAGGAAAGGGCAGATGGCTGACTTTATCTTTGGGAGTGCCGTTGCCATTGCCGGGGGGCAGAGACGACGGTGTACATATTGAAA